CTCAAGATGGAATTAGAAGATTAAAAAGATAAAGCACTTCATTCATTTAATAAGTATCCGCCATATTTATTCTGATAGTTCCCCACACTTGCCATTTTCCTGTGAATAGAGGAGGACAAAGGGATCCATACTGTTAACTTGCTGCCTTCTTGCCTGAGAATCAGTGACTGCCCTGCAGCCAGCGACAGTGCACAGCTCCTCAGGGCTCATTCCTAACTCCTCCTGGAGCAGCAGCTCCCATCTCTGCTTCCTGTGGGAGGCTGCTCTAGACAGACCTTTGGCTGTTAGTGTGGAAAGAAGAGAAGAGGGGAGAATGTGGATTAATTACATTCAGAACAACTTTAGGGAAAGGAGGTGTAAAGTAGCAGCTTTGGAGTCATCCTCACGCCCGGTTGAGTACTGGCTCTTCTACCTTGACTATGGGATGTGGAACAGGCGACTGTAGCCTCAGAAGCCTTGGTTTTTCTCAGCTGTAACGTAAAGGTAATGGTAGAGCTCCTCTCTTGAAGTTATGGTAAGAATTACAGGAGATAATGCAGCCACATGTTTAGCTGAGTTTATTTAACAGTTCTAAGTGCCGGCTCTTGTTACAATAATCAATATTATTTTTAGGGCCCCTGTGGCACCTGTTTTTGGGCCTTGTGTGACTCTGTAAGAGGCGTGAGTAATAGGAATGGGTCTGATTTCAAAACTTACACCCTTTCTAGCATACAGCACCGCACTTCTGACACACTGTGCAGTCCATAAAGCAGATTTCCATTCGTCATCCCATTGAGTCTCCATGTCTTGAGATATTATATCCCTGAGGCCTCTCAACTCTACTTCTTCAGAAGGAAGAGAATGAAACAGAAATAAAAAGGGGGGAGCAGTGACAAGCAACTGGTCTGGGTATAAAAAAGAGACTCCCACTGTTTTAATTTGAACTCTCTACTTGCCTGACAGGGTCAAAACATTTGCTGTTTGGAAAAACTATAGCCAGTCATTGGAAGTACTGTTTCCAAGTAGAAGAGCTTGCATGGATGAGGAGAGAGAAAGAGAGAAAATGTTACATGGGAGAATTACTTCATTATTTTGCTGAGAGGAAGTATTGAGTTGATCTAATGTTAGGTGCTGGGTTATATGAGAAGTGAAACTCTTGTAAAAATATTTTTAAACTGACTATATATTTCCTTATCCTAGCTCTGACCTTTTTCATCGTAGAATGATAGAATTATTGAATGTGGAAGATGGAACCAGTGATTGCTCAGGTCCCTCCATTTCCTTCTGTGAGCAGCAAACAGGGCTGTAAGGAAGGGCAAGATGGGTGGAGAAAGAGGCAAGAGGTGTCCTGGTAGTCACTTGGAGCACTCATACATTCATTTTTTAATTTAGTAACCTTTTTTGTTGCTGGTTTAGTTGGTTTTTGTTTTTGAGATTGGGTCTTGTTATATGCTGTCCGGGCTGGTCTCAAATCCTTGAGCTCAAAGATACTCCTGCCTCAGCCTCTTGAGTTGGTGGGAGTATAGATGGACACACACCACATCTGGTTTAGCAGATTTTTTTTTTTTGGAGAGTCTTCAATGTGCCAGACACAGTATTACCTATCATATGTGATACATTAAACAAACACATAATCCCTGCCGTCGTGGAAGTTCAGAGGCTCGTGGGGAAGGCATACATTGAAGATGAACAGAAATTTATAATCTTAAATTGTTGAGCACTGTGAAGGAAATGAACAGAATGTGTGTGAGAGAATAACTGTGAGAGGGGCCTTTCCCATAGCATTTTCAGTGATGGTTTCTCTGAGTAGGAGTCATATGAGCTGAACCTAGAATAATCATAGTAAACAGGAACCTTTACCAGGAGTCTTATGGATTTAGTAACCTGCCCAGGACTGCACACAGAGGATGGTCAGGCCTGCAGAGTTAGGGAAGAGCCTTCCAGACATGCTGAGGAGCACCTAGTAAGACCTTGAAGGTGGGAGAGGCAAGCAAGGGCACACACACACACACACACACACACACACACACACACACACACACACACACACACACACACACACACCCCGGTGCATTTGGAGTAGGTGATGATGGGGAGGTGAGCAGGGCCAATTGTACAGTGCCTGCAGGTGAAACCTGATGATATTTTGGTGGCAGTGGAGATGCAGAGAACTGGGATGATTTTGAAATATGTATTTTTCTACTCTTCATTGAGATATAGCACTAACATTCACCATTTCAACCATTTTAAGTACACAATTCTATGGTTTTTAATATATTCACAATATTATAAAACTATTGCCATTATCCAGTCCCAGAACATTTCTATCATCCCTAAATGAAGCCCCATATCTCCCAACTCCCCACTCGCCCTGGCTACTAACATTACTCTGCTGGCATTCTCTGTGGATTTGCCTGTTCTGGATATTTCCTATACATGGTTCATACCGTAGCTGGACTTTTACATCTGGTTTCTCTTTCTTAGCGTAGTGTTTCCAAGGTTCATCCATGTTGCAGCATGTATCAGTTCATTCCTTTTTATGGCTAATATTTCATTATGTGGACTTTTGTTTATCCACTCATCAGTTAATGGACATTTGAGTTGTTTTCATTCTTTGGCTATTATAAATAATGCCACTATGGGTCAGCTGTAGGGGCATGTGCTTGTAATCCTAGCACTTAGGGGAGGCTGAGGTAGGAGGGTCACAAATTTGAGTCCTGCCTGGGCAACTTAGTGAGGCCTTGTCTTAAAAGGGGTGGCATTATAGCTCAGTGGAAGAGCATCCCTGAATTTGATCTCGAGTACTGTACTCCCCCCCCCCAAAAAGCTGCTATCAGCAAGTTTTTACGTGAATGTATGTTTTCCCTTTTTTTGAAGATATACACTAGAGTAGAATTGCTGTCATGTGGTAACTATGTTTAATGTTTTGAGAAACCAACAAACTGTTGTACACAATTGATGCACCACTTCAGGCATCTTTGTTGTGTTGTGTGGGGGTATTTTTAATTACAGTGTTGCTATCCTGGTATGTATGAAGTGGTATCTCATGATTTTAATTTGCATTATGATTAACGATATTGAATGCCCTTTCATGTGTTTATTGGCTATTTGTATATTTTTTTTCTGGAGAAATGTCAGCTCAGATTCTTTGCCGGTGTTTTAATGAGATTGTCTTTTTATGTTGAGTTGTGAGAGTGCTTAATATTCTAGACAGTAACCCCTTATCAGATACATGATTTGCAGATATGTCCTGCCATTCTGCGAGTTATCTTTTCACTTTCTTGATGGTGTCCTTTAGTCAAAAAAGTGTTTCATTTTGATGAAGTTTAATATATTCATTTTATTGTTTATGCTTTGAGTGTCATTTTAAAGGTATCGTTGCTTAATCCAAAGTCACAAGCATTTACATTGGTGCATTTTGAAATAATATTTATATATGATGTGAGGTTTGTGTGGGGCTGTTTGTTGTCCCAGCATCATTTGGTCAAAAGACTCTTCTTCCCATGTCCAAGTATCTTTTGGAAGTAGACACACTAGAACTTACTAGTGGAAGTAGACAGGCGGTATGAGTTAAAAAGGAGGGGAGGGGGGTAGTGGGGATGGAACTCAGGGCCTTTGCACTGAGCTACATCCCAGCCCTTCTTATTTTGAGACAAGGCCTCGCTAAATCTCTAAGTTGCCTAGGTAGGGCTTGCACTTGTGCTCCTCCTGCCTCAGCCTCCCAGAGTGGTGAAATTATAGGCCTGCAGCAGTAGGTCCAGCAAGTCAACATTATTTACTCAAGCAGCTGGTGTAATGGTGAAAGGACTGGAATGAGGGAGCTATTGTAACTTGAGGTGGGGGGTTGAGGGACAGTGAAATGCTCCAATTTGACCTTGTGGCCTTTGACACTTTTCCACATACTGCATGGTGGGCATATTTGAGGGTGGGAAAGAAGACTGAGAAGCAAGAAGACTAAGCTCATGTCTTCAGTGAAGGACAGGAATGGCCAAAAGTTTGGTGCATAACAGAAACAGAAAGGTGGAGGAAGAGGTTAGTGTAGGTGCATGTTTTAGGCCTCAAAGAAACAGCAATTTTCATAAGAAAGGGGAAGTTACAGTTTGAAAGTGTTAGTAGGGACATGAATACCCACTTCACCTCCTGGCCCTGGAGATTTGGGTTTATAAAAAGAGAAAAAGGAGATCTGGCTATGGTGGCATACCTGTAACTCCAGCTACTTCGAAGGCTGAGGGAAGAGGATTGCAAATTTGAGGCTAGCCTTGCAACATAACACATCTTTAAAACATAACACATCTTTAAAAAAAAAAAAAAGAAAAAGGGTCATCCTTTGAGAGAGCAGCAGAGAAAGTAGTATTCTCAACAAACAGCAGGATTTGACTAAGGCACAAAGTTGGAGGGAATTGTTTTTAGAAGCAGCTTTAGATTTATGGACATTTGCTGACTAGTGCAGGAGTTTCAGAGGGCAGAGGGAAGGTATGGCAGGGGAGAAGCAGGGATGTGTGGAGCAGTGTGGGGATGGGCAAGGATAGAGGACAAAGGACCCATGTGTGGTCCTGAAGTCAGCAGCTGTACTGCAAAATGGACCTAGCCCCAGCAATCTCTGCAAAGGCAGGCACCCAGTTCCAGTGCAAATGCTTTCCTTCCCCAGAGACTATGGCACCCTCAGGCAGCTGTCTCAGCCCCTCAAGGCAGGATCCGGGCATTTCCAGTGAGGGCAGGTCTCATGGTGACATCTGCAAGGTCTCACTGAGTTAGGAGCAAAGCTTGACACCGAGCATCAACTGTGCTCACCACTCTTACTTGTCCATCTTAGATGTAATGCTCATTTACCTTCCTACTGGCAGAGCTGGGTCCATTGGTCCATGGACTCACTTTGGAACCATTCTAGACTCAGAGCAGGTCTGTGCAGAACGGATGAGCACTGGCTGTGCGCTCCCCAGCCGGGAGAGCAGGGACTGGGCCCAGTGGGGCAGCGTGACTGCGCTGTGTGCTTTGCTCTCATGCGTGTGCTCTGTCCACAGGGTCATGTAGGCACAACTGCAACTAAGAAGATCGATGTCTACCTCCCCTTGCACTCGAGCCAGGACAGACTGCTGCCAATGACCGTGGTGACAATGGCCAGCGCCAGGGTGCAGGACCTCATTGGGCTCATCTGTTGGCAGTATACAAGCGAAGGACGGGAGCCGAAGCTCAAGTAATCCTTTCTCTTATTGGCTACTCTAGTTTCTGTTGGCCTCCTGGCCACCAGAGCTGCATTCTTGGCCAAGTCAGTCTTTCTAAGAGGCCTTGGCCTGGGAACCAGACCTCTGCACTGAGCCAGCTAAGGGTGCTCACCCGATCACGGACCTGTGTAGCTCAGGCTCACCTCACAGGATCTGCCTGCAGAGTGAACTTACAAGGTTAGAAATCGAGACGTGACGTGAGAAAATGAATTTTAATGATTTCCAAGCCCTTTTGTGATACCTACTGATAAAGCACCATGGGATGTAACGGGAAGGAACTGATGTTTGTTGAGGACCAGCTGTCACTAGGCTGGGCACTTCATACCTGGTGTCTGGTTTGATTCTCCCAGCTCCCTGTAAGATGTGTGTTGTGATCCTCTGTCTGTAGAGGGGACCACTCAGGGTCAGAGGGTTGTTACTTGCTGAAGGTTTCTCCAAGGGGAGATGGCCGAGGTGGGATTGGAATCCAGATCTGTCTGACACCAAGTTTGTTGCATTATTTCCTTTTGCTGTCTATAGCATTTTGGTCTAGATTTTAGTTGTTGTTGTTTTTTTTCCTGGGTTAAGGATGATTTATTATTTTTATGTACAGAAAACTCAAGAGTATACTTAGCCAGTTTAGTGGCAAGTTCTTTAGCCTTTGCCTTTTCCAGCTTGGTGATGTGAGCCACTGATTTGGGATCCAGGACATTGCCTCCCCCGTGAAGCTAGAGCTCATCATATCTGTCATTTGTAGTTGGTCCTGATTGCTTCCACCAGCTTAGCCAGAACGCCTTTGTCTTCCAAGTTGACTTGTGTGAAGGCAACAGTGGTGCACATCTTTCTGTGAATTAGATGCCCCAGCCTGACCTTCCCCTTGATGATATAGTAAGGGACCCCCATCTTGCAACATAGGGCAGGCAGGGGCCGGGGATTTAGCTCAGTGGTTCTGGCGCCTGCCTTGCAAGCACAAGGTCCCGAGTTCGATCCCCAGTACAAAAACAAAAAAACAAGACATAGGGCAGGCAGGAACACAGCTAGCTCAATGGGGTCCACGTCGTGTGTGATCGCCACTAGCTGAGCCTTCTTGTTGTCTACCAGAGTAGTCACAGTTTTAACACCTGCTCTGAGGACTGGTGGTCTCTTAGTGGGGACATCCCCTTTGCCAGAAGCTTTCTTCTCAGCCCGGGCCAACAGCTTCAGTTTCTTCTCTTGCTTCGTCTCTGGTCTGTACTTATGGGCGAGCTTAAGCAGCTGGATAGCTGTTTGGTGGTCCAAGGTGTGGGTGAACTGGTTAATCACAGGAGGTACCTTCAGCCGCTTATACAGGATAGCCCTCTGCCACTGTAGCCGGATGTAGCAGGGCCATTTGACAAAGCGGGTGAGGTCTCTCTTGGGCTGGATGTCCTGTCCAATGCCAACATTCTTTGGCCTCTTTTCAAACAGGATTTACCAACTTCGTGGCCTCCTGCTTCTTCACCACAGCAGGAGCTGGGGCCACCTTCTTCCCCTTGGCCTTCTTCCCTTTCGGCATCTTGAGTGGCTGACAGAAAGAGCTGGATTTTAGTTTTATTATCTGTCAGTAACTAAAGTTTTCTCTCAGTCACTAGGCTCTATTCCTCATTAGACAGTTTTATTAAGAATGTTGTTTGAGGGGCCAGGGATTTAGCTCAGTGGTTTCGCCGCCTGCTGCACAAGTGCAAGGACCCGAGTTCGATCCCCAGTACCAAAAAAAAAAAAAAAAAAAGAATGTTGTTTGAAAGCAGAATCTCTGCCTACACATTCCAACTTGAACGTTGACATGTTCACAAAGGGGCCATAGTTCCTATGTCTTGCAGCTCTGATTTGAACATGTTACATTCCCGACAGCTTGAACCACTGATGGTATATGCATGACTGTCCCATTACCCAACTTTTTACTAATTTTATTAATAAAAAGACTGTTAAAAGTGATTGGATCCATTTGTACCACCAATGGTACAAGCCGCCCAATGGGACAGTCATGCAGGTACCACAGTGGTTTAAGTCTGGGAACATGCTGAAGTGCTTTGTTGCACTGGCTCTTCCCTACTAGAATTTCTTCCCTGACAGGCATCCTCTTCTAGTTTTCCACACTGTTTCCAGCCGTACGGTTTGGAATCTATGCGGAAGATGAATTCTCAGTGAAACTTACTCTTGGCCTCTTCTATTTTCAGAGTTAGCATGAGTCAGTTAGCTTTAGTTTATCTTTTTCTTTAGGTACATTAAATTTGCACAAAAAATTATCCCTTCAAGTTCTTACTGACATTGTGCTCCATTTTGCCTGAATAAATGTGCACGTACAGATCATCTGTATTGCTGTGGTGGCAACAGAAAGCCTTTCCGACCAAGTCACCACCTAGGCTCAGACTAGGGTAGACTCAACCGCTCTCCTCAAGGCTGAGCTGTGATGTTGACCCTTTTCAGCATGAAGTGGGAACCAGGAAACAGAAAAGGGAGCCATGGTACTAATAACTTTATAATTTGATTTAATTCTTAAAATGTTGCTTAGTGCAGGCATGGAAACTTAGAAGTAAAGGAACTTGCCCAGGGTTACCCAGCTACTAAAGTAATAGAGACAGGAGCTGAACTGTGACTATATTTTACAGCTGAGGAAACTAAACTTAGGCTAAATCACTATCTTCAACCACATAGCAAGTAGTGGAATTAGCATTTAAACCCAGTAAACTCTGACTCCAGAACCCCAGTTCTTCACTGGTATACTTCCTACCTAGGACTTTGATACTGAAATGTTTATTGAGTTCCCCCTTATGATAGCACTGTCTTAGATCTGAAAATATAGAAGTGAAAAGGGCAGATCAGGCCATCAAGGACCATACCATCCAAGGTAAACAGCAGTAACAGTACAGCACAATTAACGTACAAGTCAGGTGCTTTGAAAAGATCTAGCCCCATATTTGGAGGTGAACACAAAGACCTGGAAAGCTCCCTTGATCAGAAGACATCTAAACTGAAACCTGAAGGAGAAGTAAGAAAGGTCATGCAGAGAGGTTGAAAGGAGGGTTTTTAAACAGAAATAAGCATGGACCTCTAGTTAAATGGTCTTTTAGGTTCACACTTTAAATTCCATGTTCTGCTGTAGTATGTAGTAACAGCAAATGAAATATGTTATAGACATATACATGTTAAGTACCAGGGGATAGGATTTCAGGAACACAATTCAACCTTGTAACACCACTTTTACCTAGTTGATAAACCCTTCTTACTACATTTTCTCCACTCACATTACTAGTGTGATAATAGTGAAAACTGGAAGCAGCCCAGTCGTCCTCCACCAGGTGAATGATGAAACACTGTGGTCATCTAGCCGTACAATGCAGGGTGCTCAGCAGTAAAATAGGATTAGATGCTGATACATGTAGCAACTCAGATGGGTTCTCTTGGGGAAAAAGACAATCTGAGAAGTATGCATACCATATGATTTCACTTATGTCACAACCCCAAAATGACAAAAGTACAGAGACAGAGAATGTTGCATAATTGCAGGGGACGAGGAACAGTGCTGGAGAAGAGAGCAACTATGAAATGGTAGTAAAAAGGTGTTCAAGGGCCAAGGATTTAGCTCAGTGGTTTCGCTGCCTGCTGCACAGGCGCAAAGACCCAAGTTCCGTCCCCAGTACCAAAAAAAAGGTGTTCTGTTGTGCTGAAACAGTGCAGTAGTCTGGTGATGGTTACAGAAATCTATACATCCAGTTGAATGTATAGAGCTACACACACAAGTGAGTGCATGTACAAACTGGTGAAAACAGAGCTATAGTCTTGTTAACAGTATTGTGCCAATGCCAGTTTCCCTGATCTTGATATCAGACTATAATAATTATGAGATAGTTCATTCTCTCTCTCCCCCCCTCCCCCCTCCCCCCCTTCTCTCTTCTCTCCTCTCTCCTCTTCCCTTTCTCTCCTCTCTCTCCTCTCCCTCTCTTGTTCAGACTGGCCTTGAACTCACTGTGAAGCCCTGGCTGGCCTTGAATTCACAGTGATCTTCCTTCCTCAGCCTTCCCTGAGTGCTATGATTACAGGCATGTGCCTCTATGCCCTGCTTCATTCTCTTAACAGCGGTTTTGTAAAAAGTTTTAAATGTCAGTAAACTTCAATTCATCGATGTTTTCTTTCATGAATTGTGCTTTTGGAGTTTTATCTAAAAAGTCATCACCAAATCAAGTCATCTATGTTATCTTCTAGAATTTTTATGATTTTTATGCTTACATTTAGATCTATGAGCCTGGCTGGGGAGAAGGACCAGTGAGTGGTATAACCCTTGCCTAGCATGTCCCAGCAACAAATCCCTGGGTGGGTTTAATCCCTCCCACCATAAAATCAATTAATCTCTGCTCCAATTTAAGTTAATTTTTAGGGAGGTGTCAAGTCTGTGTCTAGATTCCGTAGAGTTGAATGTCAACATCTGGTTTCTCCAGCAACATTTGTTAAAAGTTTGTCTTTTTTCCGTTGAATTGCCTTTGCTCCTGTGTCTTAAGATGAGTAGACTTCTTTTTTGTGGATCTATTTCTGGCATATAAGATTCTTAAAAACATTCTTTAATTTATATTTCTCCATTAGATTCCAAAATGAAACAATATCTTTTAAGTAACACCCATTTGTGAGAGAAAAATAAAATTCAGTGAGGTTTTATCCTGTCATGAATTTGAGATATACACCTGCTCTTTACACAAAACCACATTTACTCTGCTTCATAGATAATTTAAAGGATTTTCAAGTGTAATTTTGACTATTCCCATTTTTTATGGGAGACTTGAGTCATATATTATGACTGTCTTGTATACTAGAATGGCCCTTCCTTGCCTTCTTCCTTTCAGTTGTCCCTCAGGCATTTAGCATAATTTCACTAGTCTCTAATTTACTTAGCTATTTATCAGGCTACTGATAGGTGAGCCACTAAAAGCCTGAAGAGTTTGCTGTGGTCCAGAGCAGGAGTAGTAGTGTGCCTTGGAGATTA